TTATCCAGTATGAGTTTTACTCACGTCTCGAATGAATTCAATAACATATTCAAATAAAATCTGACTGAAACTGAGAATGGTTTGCAGATTTCAATAGAAATAACAGATAATTTTTTTTTGTTATTGATAAGTAATTGGTAAATTATTCATGTTCGACACGATTAATTATCATCCATATCTATTACACAAATCAACACATATCTCTGAACCAAATCTTTGTAGGAAAATATTCTTCATAAGTTACCATTCTTACTTCTCCACTTCCTTCATTCATCACCATCAAACCTTCATCTTATTTATTTTTTCTTTTACTAGGTTGATACATAAATCCAAGATATGAGAATCTCTTAATAATTCAAAATATCTTATCCTAATCTATTATTTCTTTTTATAACCCATCCTTATGTTTACCTCCAAAAACTAATAAAGAAAATCATCATATTTGTGAGCAACTCCATCTTGAATAATTAATTATCTTATCGTATATTGTCCAAACAAAAAAATAATTGTAAACACACAATTTTTTTACATAATGATGAGTTTTTAGAAGATAGTTACTATAAAGATAAATAATACTAATGAAACCTCAACCTGATCAACATAAAATATTGACACAAGTTTCAACCAAAAGCCTTAAAACAATAGGGTCATCATCTTTATATGGTATTCAACTCTCGTGTTTATCTTTAATACAAAGTTAGGACTCATACTATAATTTATATTTTTCTTCCATTGAGAAGTGAGTTTCTTTCAAATTAGTGCATCTCTTCGATATTTCTAATTCTCAAGTATACATTTTTTATCATGATCCCTGTTAATAAAATACGCTTACTTGAATTCTCCATAAAAAAAACTTTCAATACATAAATCAAATTAATGAATTAATCACAAAAAATAACCAATTTTTCATACCACTATTAATAATCAGGAAAATAATCTCTTAATATAATAGAAATTTAACTACTTCCACACTTCAAAACCTAGTTCCATAAATACTCAATGAAAATTTTATTATTCATCATACAATTTATTTTATAAAAGGTGAAAATTCATATAATTTTTGTTAAGTATTTATAGATATAGGCACCACTTCTTATACTTAATATTATTTTCATTGCGTGATTTCCAATATACAAGTGTTCCGTTATCTAAATGATTGAAATATAATAAAAAGAATATGTTCAATCCAAGCGATTCATTAAATAAAAATCATCAATATTTGAATTAAAATATGCGTGTCAGATTACTAAAAATACAACGAGGATGAATGTCGGTTATCAAAAATACAGAAAGGATTATATCTAGTCTATTTAAAAATGATAGTAGGAGACGTAAGTGTATTCTAATTAAGGGAAACAAGTATTTTTTTTAAAACTAAAGGAGGGTGTGTAATTTAACTCAGGAATTGAGAACTCTATAACTATTAAATTAACTTATATACTAAGGTAACCAAATTTAAAATACTTTTTAAAAAATATATAAGAAAAATATATACAACATATTAGTAGTGAGATAACTTTTAACTAATTTAATTAAATAAATTTGTTGAATACAAAAATAAAGGTAGGTATTAATGTAAAATTTAATGTTATTATTATAGAATTTAAATAACTAACCATTTTTTCTAGCATATTTATATATTTAAAATATGTGTTTGTGTTAAATAATTTTATTTATATATAGACATAGGTATGAAATTTATCCTAAAAAGAGTATGAAATATGTAATATATTTAAAAATATCATTTAAGCTAAATCAAATGTAGATAATAACAAGATGAAAGATTTTTACCACCCTGGTCCGATCTGGATCCAGTGAGTGAGTATTGACTTGAAAATAAAAACACCACATAAGAAGAGACAACTGGAAAGTGAAGAAAGAAAGAAGAGAAGAAGTAAAATAGCAACACATGACCCAATGCTCGCGACCCCACCAAAGGAATAAAACAGGCTGTGGTAGAGCTGTGTGGTGCGAAGGTTCCATTTTACCTCTCTACCTTCTGATTGTGTTTTCCTTCGTAACCAAACAGTGCTTCAAAGCATGGGTGTGGGTGAGAACCGGAGTTTCTTCGGCACTGGAAAGCCATCGCTTCCGGTGTCGCGTTCCGACTCTAACTCTAACCTAAATGAAGGAGGCCTTCGCCGCCGTCTTTCCTCTCTGTCTCTCAAGATCCAAGGCTCCACAGCCGGCGGCGGAGGCGCATCGTATTGGTCGTTTCCCAGATCCAAGTCTCTCTCATCGATGAGTGACTATGCCGGCACCTCTATCAGGAAATGGTGGGACCGGAGCTGGGCTTGGATCCTCTCCAGGAAGCCAATCTTTGTGGCGGATCTCGAAATGAACCATCAGGAAACGAAGCTCCTCGGCTCCCACAACAGAGGCACTTTGAGACATGTTATCTATAAGATGCGCTCTGAGATCCGAAGAATAATCCCTTCTTCTGATCACGCCACACTTCCTCAAACCTCCTCTTGAATTCCAGCTCGTAATGCTTCATGTGCACCTACGTCTTTCAAATTGCAGATCTATTGCTATCTATTCCTTTGTTCATTCTTGTGTACAATTTTTAGTGTTCATGTTTCTTCAATATTGTTTCTCCCAATGGACCATCTCATACTAAGCCTGTAGTGTACGCAAATCACGTGCATGTATAATTGCTATATATCCATTCAATATTCTATCTATGTTGTGGCTTGGCTTCCTATGCTATATATCCATTCAATTACGTGTACAATGGAGTATTTTATTTTTAGCTGCAATTGCTCACTGCAAGCTCTTGAATTGTAAAACTCATTTTAGTGAGAATTTCAAAGAATGCATAATGATTGGTGAATCCCTTGTTTTACATGTCCTAAGATGGAAGTTTCTTCTCCCATGTTGCTGTTTCCTTTCATTTTTTCTGCCATTTGAATCTAACTCATCTCTGTCGGTGTGATGCGGTTGCCGTGTCATGTGGCGGTTATGACTCAACGACACGGTTCCACCACAACACCAACCAACCAAAAATCACATATATTCATACGAATTTGTGTCGGTGCACTATTTATTTTCCTTTTTTTTTTCACTTTTTTTCTCTTACAAGAAATTCTTAAAAAGTTGTAAAAAAATTGTTAAAAAAATTTTTACATAAAAAAAATATAGCTAAGTGCATGCTTCCGAGCTGTAGTAAGGATGAGAATGATGGAAGGAAAATAATAAAGAAAATAAATATAATATAGGTAACTGAATTATTATATTGTTTAACAGTAACCATAGAGACACATGGTAGGTAGGAAATGCTTGACTTTTTATATAAATTTCTTTAGGAAGTGAAGATAAAAAGAAAATATTTTTGTTTTAAATATACTTTCTTTTTTAAATAAAAAAGATAAGGAAATATATTATAAATGTTAATATATTTTACTTTTAGTATAATAAAATAAATTATAATTTTATTTCAATAAATTTAATTTAGTTAGTTTTATTTATTAAAATTTTGCAGTTTATATAATTAATATATGTTTAATCTTTAACAAGTATGATTGTGTGTATATTAGAGAAAAAATAATTTTAATATGCAACTAATTTTTTTAAGATCCTTTCACTTTAGTTTTGTTTTTGTAAATTTATAGAACTTTTTACTTTTTTTATTTTATAAATTTATAATTCTTAATATTTTATTTATGTATTGTTTGGTATATTTAAATGAGTTTTTTACCTTTTATTTTTATTTTTTGTTTTATAAATTTAAAATTCTTACTTGTTATTTTAAAGCTAATTCTACATTCATGTTAGTTTTTTCTTTAACTCACATATTACACTTATTACATACTAAACACATGCTTAATTATATTAACTATTAATAAAATTTGATTAAAACTAACAAAACGAAATCAAAGTTATTACAGTTTTTTTTTTATTATATGAAATAAAGTATACTCAAAATTTATATTGAGCGGATTATTTATCCTAATCTTAAATATTAATAAGTACCAAATTATAGATTTTACTTTTCAACACATAAAAATTTTTCATGTGAATTTGTTTTAATAGATTGCTTATATTATTTAAAATATAAGCTTTCCTAAATTTGTATAACATATTTAATATAGAGATCTGTTCAACCAGATAAAACCTCAAAAATAATGAAATATATAAAAATGATCTAGTAAAAGATATCTTAATCTAAAACACATTATTGAATAATATACCAAATCTTATAAGACAAATTGATTCTACCAAAAAAAACATGAATAGTTATTATATCAAGAAAAGATTAACTCTCTCTCTTATCTCTCTCTATATAATGGTAACTAAAATATTAAAAACTAATTTACTACTCTAACATTTTTTTTTGAAAAAATAGAATCATAATATTAATTTTACAAAACTTAAACTATTTTCAGATTTCAGAAAAAGTAACTATATAAAGAAAATTTACATTCAAATTGTAGAAAACTACGTGTAATTTTATTTAAAGGTCATTTAAAATAGTTTATATTATATCATATAATTATTTAATTTATTATTTAAGTGCACCAAACACTGTCTAGGATTATCTTATAACAAAGATTTTTATTTTGGAAAAAATAATTTTAAAAGATTTAACTGTTTGGAATTTTGGAAAAAGTAAAATGAATTTTTAATATTTTTGGAAGTTTTTCAAGTAACTTCTTCAAATGTAATGTTTCTTTTTTAAATAAAACAAAGTATTTATAGATGCAGTAAAATAATATATATTAGCAGTTGAAAAAATTATTTTTACGATAAATAGTCTTTTGTTTTAATCTATGGTTATCAATTATTGAATGAAAATACATCATACTTTAATCTCCTAAACAAATTTCTATAAATAATTATTCCTTAATTTCTGAGCATACATCCTCGTCTTAGAAAAACAGACATTTTTTATGTACATATTAAAACCTTTATTCTATAACACTTTTTTTAATGTTTTCTTAAAACCTTTAATTTAATATTTTTTTTGTGGACCCGCTAAACCAATCATTTATTATTCTTTAACACTAGTTTTCTCATACAATATGAAACCCTAAAATTAATTTTGCCACCACTTTCTCCCTTTCTTATACAGTCCGAAGTCCTAATATTTGTTCCCATCCTTCTCCGTCTTTTTCCCCCATTTCTGGAATAAACTGAGTGGAATTTGTGATTACTGTCTGATTACTGTCTCAAACCTCAGGAAAACTCCCAAACCCGTGTTGCATTGGCGAGAGCCTTAACAGGTCTCAAATTCAGTCGTTCGAAATAAAGTTCGTCGTGAAACACGAATCTTCAACTGGAAATTTGAGAAGCTCAAACCCGCTGCTGAGGAGGTCGAGCACGTGGTGGCGCTGATGCTTCTCCCGTGAAGGTCAAAGACAGTGTGATTGTCCTAAAGGTGAGATTTTTAAAATGGTACATTATAAAATTGTAAGACAATTGTTTATTTTGATGCATTTTTGTGTTTGGAATTGGTTATTGGTTTGGGTTCTGAGATTTTCAGTGATATGATTTGGTTTTCCAGTGGTAGTTGTAATTGCACCTTCATTTGGTGTTTATTGGTTTAGGTTCTTCCTGTATATATGTGATTACGTGAGTTTATAGGGTATAAAAATAGGGTTATGGATACTGATGTGATGGATTTGTTTAGAAATAAAACAATGAAGAATTATAGAATACATTGAAATATTTGGGAGAAGAGTTTTGGATGAAGACGAAGAGTGAAAGAGATCTAGAGATATGGAGTGAAATGGGGTCCGTTGCTTGTATAAGTGATTTGTTTGGTGATTACTCTGTGATTTGTGTAATGAGTAATTGTAGAATTGCTGACATTACTAGTAAATAATGAAGACAACATCACACTAAAATAACTTCAACGAGAGCTTTGTTATCTTTTAATATATTTTTTTTTATGTTTATTGAGTTTTTAACTAATTGAAGTTGCAATATGCTAGAGTTGCTCATGCCTGATCAATTTGTTAGTCTTGGAGCCAAGCATCAGTAATTTGCATATAAATGTTACCAAGAGAATTTACTTTACTTTTGAGTGAAATGAAAAGAACAGTCTTTTGATAGCATGATAACATGATCTGTCTTAGTTGCCATACTTCGTGAAAGAGATATGGTGTAATCATTTTAATTATTGAGAAAGCTTTTAGCATGATATAATATGAGCCATATTATGAAACTCTAATTTTTGGGTGCAGATTTATGATTTACTAAAAAGGAATCACGTGGTTTGTCTTCTATGCAGCTTTAAGTATCCTTGCTTATATGCCTTTTAGCTTTAAAGTTATCATATTCTTTGTTATTTCTCTCTTAAAATGCTTGAAGGGTATGTTGTTAGCCTTTATGTCAACATACTCTGTTTTGTGGAAATAAAATTTGGAATGAAATGTTTCTTCTCCCTTTGTTTACCTTTGTATCAAACAATAGCCACCTGACCGTCTTACCTTGTGTCTAGGCTTAGCCCCAAGTTTCAATATTTTGCAAGTGGTTCTTACTTCAATTAAGGATTGAAGTTTAAATGGGAAAGCAAGTCACCCGCAACATTAATGTCTCAATCCGGGGATTATTTTGCAAGTGGTTCTTACTTCAATTACCTTGTTCCCATCCTTCTCCGTCTTTTTCCCCATTTCTGGAATAAACTGAGTGGAATTTGTTGTCTCAAACCTCAGGAAAACTCCCAAACCCGTGTTGCATTGGCGAGAGCCTTAAATTCAGTAGTTCGAAATAAAGTTCGTGCGTGAAACACGAATCTTCAACTGGAAATTTGAGAAGCTCAAAAGGATTGCAGCGTCCATGGCATATTTTAAAAGCCGTTAGATTAAGCAAGAGCTTGGTAATCATTCTTCTTGCTCTTCTTCCCTCAGATTTCGTCATTTTTTTTTATCTTGAATCAATTGTATTTTGACTTACACCCATTGGCAATGAAGCTCCCTGTGCGGTACTTGATTGTTATTTTGACCTTCATCTGCACCTCAGTTTGCTACATCGAACGAGTAGGGTTTTCCATCGCTTACACCGTTGCTGCTGATGGTGCTGGGGTGAATCAATCGAGCAAAGGTACTATACTATCCACCTTCTATTACGGATACGCCTGTTCTCAAGTTCCCGGAGGATGGGCTGCTCAGAGAATCGGGGGGAGGAGGGTCCTGCTTCTTTCGTTTCTTTTGTGGTCATTGACTTGTGCACTTCTTCCTCTCGATCCCAATCGTGTTATTCTTTTAGTCGTTGCTCGTTTGCTCGTTGGTGTAGCACAGGGTTTCATTTTCCCTTCCATTCACACAGTTCTAGCACAGTGGGTTCCCCCTCACGAGAGATCTAGATCCGTCTCTCTCACCACTTCTGGGATGTATCTGGGTGCAGCTCTAGGAATGCTTCTTCTTCCTACTCTGGTCAAGTTCAGAGGCCCTCAATCTGTGTTCCTTGCGGAGGCGGCATTGGGTGCTTCATGGTCTTTACTTTGGTTCAAATATGCCATTGATCCCAAATCCACTGCTTCTGGTGTTGGGGAATTAGTCTTACCCATCAATAAAAAAATGGACTCTCACAACAAAAAGGTACTTTCAGCCAAAATCCCCTGGGTCAAAATTTTAACCAGCTTCCCTGTTTGGGCGATCGTTGTCAATAACTTCACCTTTCACTATGCTTTATATGTGCTCATGAACTGGCTCCCAACCTACTTTGAATTGGGCCTTAAGCTTAGCCTGCAAGACATGGGTTCCTCTAAAATGTTGCCCTATCTCAACATGTTCCTGTTCTCCAACATTGGTGGTGTTGTTGCCGACTACTTGATCACCAGGAGAATATTATCTGTCACCAAAACCAGGAAATTCTTGAACACCGTAGGGTTCTTGGTTGCTTCTCTTGCCTTGGTGGTGATTCCCAGTTTCAGAACTTCTGGTGGTGCTGTCTTCTGTTCTTCTGTGGCTCTTGGTTTCTTGGCACTTGGCAGAGCTGGGTTTGCAGTGAACCACATGGATGTTGCTCCGAGATACGCTGGAATAGTGATGGGTGTTTCTAATACTGCGGGTACTTTGGCTGGCATTGTGGGCGTTGACCTAACTGGGAAGCTTCTTGAAGCTGCTAAGGCTGCTAATTCTGATCTTTCAAGTCCAGAAAGCTGGAGAACAGTGTTTTTCATTCCTGGATTTTTATGCATTTTTAGTTCGTTTGTATTTCTACTATTTTCAACAGGGGAGAGAATTTTTGATTGAAGTAGCCTTGTCAATTTCATGGCTTAAGAGGTGTTGTTATTCTGGGGATTTAATTTTTATTACATCTCCAAGTTATATCATTCTTGGATAGAAGAGGTCATGTTGTTATAACTGGATATGATTTTTTTCTGTTATTATTAGTTCTTCAGCTTGTACAATTCCTGGCAAGTAAAGAACAAGGTTTCAAAGTGTCATAGCAAATTTTAAATACTTGTTACAATCCTTAGAATTAATATAAAATAATAATTGTAAATGTTATATTTAATTGTAAAAATGTTTTAAAAATAAAAATTAATTTTTATAGATTATATTTATATTTTAATTTGAATTTGACTATTTAAGAAAATGTTTTTTATTTGATATTAATTATTTTTGTAATTATGTCTTTTATATTCTAGGTTATTATAAATTTAAAAGAAATAACATTCAGGTTATTAAAAATTTAAATTTAAAATTTAAATTAAAATTAAAATTAAAATTAATTTTAATATATGTAAAAAACTAATTACACACTTTAAAATTATCTTAAATAGTTAAATCAAAGGAAATATGGTAGTTTATATAAAAATTGTTACTGAATAACAAACTGTTAGATTTACCTAAATGACATTAAATTATGTAATATGAAAAAAAAAATAATGAACGAAAGTTATTTTTTAACTATGTATAATGTAAAAATAAAACAATTTTAAACGTTATATAAAATATTTTGTCAAGAGACAAAACAGTGTTTCCTTCTTCACATTATATAAAATACTTATGTTTGTTGTAAAGTTGGGCAGGGGGAGTAATTGTGCTTCATGTCTTTATCAGGGATAGAAAATATTTTTCATCATAATTACTTTCAAATCTCGTTGCATTCCAGAGATGAAAAAAGCACCTAAATCAGCGCTAATCATTCATTGCAAATCCCTTTATGTAAACATAAATAATCTTCTAAATCTATCTCCTAAAATATCTCTTAACATTCTTTTTTCTTAAAATCAGCTAATCATTCATTGCAAATCCCTTTATGTAAACATAGATAATCTTCTAAATCTATCTCCTAAAATATCTCTTAACATTCTTTTTTCTTAAAATCAACAAAGCCTTAGTATTCTTTGAAATTTCTCCAATGACCATAATGAGAAATGACATTGTTAATGCAATTATTTCTGTTCAAAAGAAGTTTTAAGCCCACAGCGCAATCCATCTTTTCCACGCAAATGATCACATCTATCTTTGGTGTTGCTAAAATTGTGAAATTCCACTAAATGCTATTTAGTGAAATATTTTACATCGTAATTAAATTAAATTCCAAAAAAAATTATCCACCTTTTCTACCTGTTTCTACTGAAAAGTTGGATCAAACTCATTTATTCTGATTGTGATTTTATTTCTACTTTCACATTAGTTCATGAGAATGCGAAAGGGACTACAATATGCAACTAAAATTCAAAAACTAATGCAAACGACTCTTTTAAAAGATAATTCCCTATTTTTCTTTTAGAAAAAAAAAAATCTCATAGACTTTATAATAATTCTACTTAAACCTTTTTACTTAGCCAGCTGAAAAATAATATACTTCCAATGTCACTTTAACATTAGCATAATGCATGTTCTCTGACATAATCCACAAAGGCTTCTTAGTTTGCCGAATACATCATGTCACGCGTGTGAAACTTTACATTCGTGAAATTAAGAACCTGAAAGGTCAAATCAAAATCCTTCTACTTAAACTATAGACAGAATGCCCCTACATGAAAGCACAGAAAAATAGAAGACCAACTTGAAAGAGCTGCAACACCCAACACCGAGGTTTACAAAGAGAAATAATTTGCACTCATACAGCACATAAATGTAACACTTGATGGATGCTCGTGTTGAGCAACCACAATCCTGATTCTTCTTCATGGATTGACCCACCAGCAGGATATCAACAAATTTTTGTAAAGATTTACGGTTGTTTTTCTCTTTCTGGCTTCGCTGCATACAACCTGCCAAATTTGTATACCAGAATACAAGAATGACGTTAACATTTAGACCAATACAAAGTGAGCAGCTATACAGTTTTAGCAAATTGCCAAGATATAAACTATCATGCAAGACACACCTTGTTGAAAATTACTCACTGCTTACATCTAGAGACAACTCTGGATGCATTATTCAACAGAACACGAACTGATTTAAGACCTTTCACGAGAAGCAAAACCAAGATTTATGATTGGAACGATATTTATTTACAAATATGTACTTACATGAGGGCTTCACTCGCACCCCAAAGTTTGGCCTTGGGGCTACATCTTTTTATATATCTACTAATACTATTACCATATATAGAATTGCTAAGGTTCGTTAGCCATTTGGCTGGCGTACACCTCCAAATGTATGCCCATATGCTGCCTTCTTCCATTTATACTTTCATAACTCAAGCCATCCTGATTTATCTTTTTCATCGGGAAATCATAGACAAATATATATTGTATGGTATACGCTATAGACAAGGCAGCTCCATAGTGCTTGGACATTTTATTTTCCATACAGGCACATTGGCTAAGCATGCTTGCACTTGCATCTTAGCTCCACCCCATTCTTCACTAGAAACAATACTTTATAGATTTTCAAATCCAAATATCAAACACGTCTAACCTCACCCAAAAGTGAAATGAATAAGAATGTCCGTTTTGTTTCATCACTGTCTACTTCAGAGCCTTCCCAATACATAATTATCTTTAGTTTTTCATCTCTAATGGGACAAACGAGTGGTAACTCTTTTATTAATAGATACAAAGATAGGATTTGACTTCTCTAATGGAAAAAGTGCATGATATAAAGAGAGAAGGTGAACTTATAACCATTGATAGAAAAAAAAACATTTAAGATTTTAATGTTGTAACTGTTATTCANGCCATTGATCCCAAATCCACTGCTTCTGGTGTTGGGGAATTAGTCTTACCCATCAATAAAAAAATGGACTCTCACAACAAAAAAGTACTTTCAGCCAAAATCCCCTGGGTCAAAATTTTAACCAGCTTCCCTGTTTGGGCGATCGTTGTCAATAACTTCACCTTTCACTATGCTTTATATGTGCTCATGAACTGGCTCCCAACCTACTTTGAATTGGGCCTTAAGCTTAGCCTGCAAGACATGGGTTCCTCTAAAATGTTGCCCTATCTCAACATGTTCCTGTTCTCCAACATTGGCGGTGTTGTTGCCGACTACTTGATCACCAGGAGAATATTATCTGTCACCAAAACCAGGAAATTCTTGAACACCGTAGGGTTCTTGGTTGCTTCTCTTGCCTTGGTGGTGATTCCCAGTTTCAGAACTTCTGGTGGTGCTGTCTTCTGTTCTTCTGTGGCTCTTGGTTTCTTGGCACTTGGCAGAGCTGGATTTGCAGTGAACCACATGGATGTTGCTCCGAGATACGCTGGAATAGTGATGGGTGTTTCTAATACTGCGGGTACTTTGGCTGGCATTGTGGGCGTTGACCTAACTGGGAAGCTTCTTGAAGCTGCTAAGGCTGCTAATTCTGATCTTTCAAGTCCAGAAAGCTGGAGAACAGTGTTTTTCATTCCTGGATTTTTATGCATTTTTAGTTCATTTGTATTTCTACTATTTTCAACAGGGGAGAGAATTTTTGATTGAAGTAGCCTTGTCAATTTCATGGCTTAAGAGGTGTTGTTATTCTGGGGATTTAATTTTTATTACATCTCCATGTTATATCATTCTTGGATAGAAGAGGTCATGATGTTATAACTGGATATGATTTTTTTCTGTTATTATTAGTTCTTCAGCTTGTACAATTCCTGGCAAGTAAAGAACAAGGTTTCAAAGTGTAATAGCAAATTTTAAATACTTGTTACAATCCTTAGAATTAATATAAAATAATAATTGTAAATGTTATATTTAATTGTAAAAATGTTTTAAAAATAAAAATTAATTTTTATAGATTATATTTATATTTTAATTTGAATTTGACTATTTAAGAAAATGTTTTTTATTTGATATTAATTATTTTTGTAATTATGTCTTTTATATTCTAGGTTATTATAAATTTAAAAGAAATAACATTCAGGTTATTAAAAATTTAAATTTAAAATTTAAATTAAAATTAAAATTAAAATTAATTTTAATATATGTAAAAAACTAATTACACACTTTAAAATTATCTTAAATAGTTAAATCAAAGGAAATATGGTAGTTTATATAAAAATTGTTACTGAATAACAAACTGTTAGATTTACCTAAATGACATTAAATTATGTAATATGAAAAAAAAAATAATGAACGAAAGTTATTTTTTAACTATGTATAATGTAAAAATAAAACAATTTTAAACGTTATATAAAATATTTTGTCAAGAGACAAAACAGTGTTTCCTTCTTCACATTATATAAAATACTTATGTTTGTTGTAAAGTTGGGCAGGGGGAGTAATTGTGCTTCATGTCTTTATCAGGGATAGAAAATATTTTTCATCATAATTACTTTCAAATCTCGTTGCATTCCAGAGATGAAAAAAGCACCTAAATCAGCGCTAATCATTCATTGCAAATCCCTTTATGTAAACATAAATAATCTTCTAAATCTATCTCCTAAAATATCTCTTAACATTCTTTTTTCTTAAAATCAGCTAATCATTCATTGCAAATCCCTTTATGTAAACATAGATAATCTTCTAAATCTATCTCCTAAAATATCTCTTAACATTCTTTTTTCTTAAAATCAACAAAGCCTTAGTATTCTTTGAAATTTCTCCAATGACCATAATGAGAAATGACATTGTTAATGCAATTATTTCTGTTCAAAAGAAGTTTTAAGCCCACAGCGCAATCCATCTTTTCCACGCAAATGATCACATCTATCTTTGGTGTTGCTAAAATTGTGAAATTCCACTAAATGCTATTTAGTGAAATATTTTACATCGTAATTAAATTAAATTCCAAAAAAAATTATCCACCTTTTCTACCTGTTTCTACTGAAAAGTTGGATCAAACTCATTTATTCTGATTGTGATTTTATTTCTACTTTCACATTAGTTCATGAGAATGCGAAAGGGACTACAATATGCAACTAAAATTCAAAAACTAATGCAAACGACTCTTTTAAAAGATAATTCCCTATTTTTCTTTTAGAAAAAAAAAAATCTCATAGACTTTATAATAATTCTACTTAAACCTTTTTACTTAGCCAGCTGAAAAATAATATACTTCCAATGTCACTTTAACATTAGCATAATGCATGTTCTCTGACATAATCCACAAAGGCTTCTTAGTTTGCCGAATACATCATGTCACGCGTGTGAAACTTTACATTCGTGAAATTAAGAACCTGAAAGGTCAAATCAAAATCCTTCTACTTAAACTATAGACAGAATGCCCCTACATGAAAGCACAGAAAAATAGAAGACCAACTTGAAAGAGCTGCAACACCCAACACCGAGGTTTACAAAGAGAAATAATTTGCACTCATACAGCACATAAATGTAACACTTGATGGATGCTCGTGTTGAGCAACCACAATCCTGATTCTTCTTCATGGATTGACCCACCAGCAGGATATCAACAAATTTTTGTAAAGATTTACGGTTGTTTTTCTCTTTCTGGCTTCGCTGCATACAACCTGCCAAATTTGTATACCAGAATACAAGAATGACGTTAACATTTAGACCAATACAAAGTGAGCAGCTATACAGTTTTAGCAAATTGCCAAGATATAAACTATCATGCAAGACACACCTTGTTGAAAATTACTCACTGCTTACATCTAGAGACAACTCTGGATGCATTATTCAACAGAACACGAACTGATTTAAGACCTTTCACGAGAAGCAAAACCAAGATTTATGATTGGAACGATATTTATTTACAAATATGTACTTACATGAGGGCTTCACTCGCACCCCAAAGTTTGGCCTTGGGGCTACATCTTTTTATATATCTACTAATACTATTACCATATATAGAATTGCTAAGGTTCGTTAGCCATTTGGCTGGCGTACACCTCCAAATGTATGCCCATATGCTGCCTTCTTCCATTTATACTTTCATAACTCAAGCCATCCTGATTTATCTTTTTCATCGGGAAATCATAGACAAATATATATTGTATGGTATACGCTATAGACAAGGCAGCTCCATAGTGCTTGGACATTTTATTTTCCATACAGGCACATTGGCTAAGCATGCTTGCACTTGCATCTTAGCTCCACCCCATTCTTCACTAGAAACAATACTTTATAGATTTTCAAATCCAAATATCAAACACGTCTAACCTCACCCAAAAGTGAAATGAATAAGAATGTCCGTTTTGTTTCATCACTGTCTACTTCAGAGCCTTCCCAATACATAATTATCTTTAGTTTTTCATCTCTAATGGGACAAACGAGTGGTAACTCTTTTATTAATAGATACAAAGATAGGATTTGACTTCTCTAATGGAAAAAGTGCATGATATAAAGAGAGAAGGTGAACTTATAACCATTGATAGAAAAAAAAACATTTAAGATTTTAATGTTGTAACTGTTATTCATGTAAAGATATTCTGTCACAACCCTGGACAACTGAACCCAGGGCACTTCAACTTCCAAAACTACAGATTAAATTCAGCAGCCATCTACACAGAATGCTTTAGAGTGGTTGATGTTAGAATGAGAGCAGATCACAAAAAAATATTATGTACATGTACAAATGAGACTAATAAATTGGGCAATAAGGGTTGAAATGTCATGAAGCGATAACTGAACTTCACTCAAATCATTTGGGTCCTTAAGGTTCATGATGATTTCTTGTGTATCAAAGAGTTAAAACTCTAACTCAGCTAGAGACTGGCATCTATTATCTATAAGTCTATTCCAACCACTAGTTGAAGATGATCACATTTAGAACATTTAATCATAACTTTCTTGGATTATAAATCCAATGTTTTAACTGGAATTTGTCCAAGTGGGGTTAGCCGAGCTTCAACTAAAATCATTGATTAAAATAAGTTTATAAGCCCTGATAGGCGCTAGACATTTTAGATTGACAACCCTCATTAGACTATTTAGATAGATGAGATTCATCATACGGTTGATAGATGATCTGATGGACCGTCCTTGAACTGATGATAAGTGTCCAAAATGCATACATGTTTCTTTAACATTCTAACATGTTTTCTACAGCAGAAGTATAAGCTCATCTAGCGTTTATAACTCATACATCATCTATAGCTAATACAACAATAGAAGGTCTAATGGACCTATCGACGAAGATAGATGTTTGATCTAGTGATTATTCCAATGTCTTTGAGAAGCTAAGATTTTGAGTTGAATGAAGAAATAAAGTATTTTGAAGATTGAAAAGATAAATTGATTTATAACAAGTCCAGTGGACTAGACCATCTGATGTGTCGATCAATTGACCGTCTAATTCTTTAAAGGCCCATTGAATAATTTGCTGCATTGGACCCTCTGCAACCGAATTTTGCCGGAGCCAAAAATTACGCCTTTGAAACATATTCAATTACCCCGATACATTTATAAATAGAGATGGACACAAGCACAAAAGCAATCAATCACTCCAATGCTCATCACACCACATTCTACACCATTCCCTGCCACTTTTCTATTTTCTTATTTGTAATTATATTTTCTTAATTTCACAATAAATTATTAGGTCTTTTGCAATTCAAGTGTTCTTCTTCAAATTCAGTAAGCATAGTCTATATCGCCTGTTCGTTTTGAATTCTAATTTATGATCTTAGGATTGTTTTTGAATACTTGTTGATAATTCAATTATGTTCTGTAATTAGAATTCTTGCTAGTTTACTTAATTCTAACAATTTCTTGTTTGTTTAATTCAAGAGTTAAGACAATAGAAATCTCAAACATAGATGCTTGGTGTCGCATGAGATATCTAACAAATTGATTGACGCTTGTTTGAATAATTCAAGTCTAGTTGGTAATTAAATGAATGTCATATAATAAATGATGAACAATTTAACGAGAATTAATTTTTTCTCTAATTGTTTTATTCTCACTGTTTTAATGCCGTATACAACACAACCCCCTTTCAACTTTATTGTTCTTTCTAATTTTATGCTTTCTGCATATGTCTGAGTTATGGTTTATTGAAATTTTAATTGAATTTGTTGGGAGATAACTTTGGGTTGATTAACCCTATCTATACTTAATTCTTGATAACTTTTTATGTTGTAGGCGATTTTGGAATTCAAAGTGGATGGTCTAATCTTGCATTAGACGATCTGCTCTAGGAGAAGATGGTTTGTCCATTCAGTAGACGATCTACTCCTATTCGATTGTGGAAACGACAACAAACAATTCATGATGATTTTTTGTGTATCAAAGAGTGATAGCAACCTCCTTATGTTAGGTTGGACCAAACCTAGGAGATGTGCATGGAGGGGTGTTTCCTTGGAGTATGGGTTCATCTTCCATGATGGACCAAGTAAAACAAAGCTTTGTTTCTCCTTCTAAAGATGGTTCTTCTTGTAGGAGCTTTGCCATATTTCTAGTAATAGGACCCTTGGCTATGAGTTTGCCATCATCGAGTCACAACTCTAACTTCAGAGCAAGAGACTAGCATCTATTGTCTCTATGTCTATTCCAACCACTAGAGAAAGTCTACCACATAATATTATAAGTATGTTGGTGAATTTATAAAGGTGATGAAGCTCTACTTTACCCAAAGACAAAAGTACCTGTACATGATGAGTACAATTGAAGCTATTGAGCACTTGATGCGTCCCTCATGCTTAAATTCAGACTATTGCGCATAGTCCTCCTACCAATTCCAGCATTGCCTTTTTGCATCATTGCAGCAAATTCACCATAATCAATCCTTCCATCCTAAAACAAAAGATATAAACATAATCATGAAGCATAATTACACAAGACGATGGAAGAACTTTAATTCAATTAAACATTTATATGCAACAAAGAGTCATACACTTCAAATTGTCAAGCACTTGATATTTAAAGAGTATTTGAGGTATGATCTAATTTTGATTAATTGACTGATTTTCATAAATACAACATTTTCAATAAGAAAACAATTAATGAATAGATCAAGCATATTGAGATATAAGAGAAACCAAGAAGGAATTTAATAAATTGTGTTTTGGGTGCACACATGAGTATTCTTATTTATAGTGAAGAAAAGATACAATAATAAAAAACAAAAGTAATATCTAATAATGCAAAATATTTAGCAAAATATTTCCCTGTCAAATCATATAACATAATAAAATCATATCTCTAAAAAGGAATGCAAAATGTTAAAATATAATGTTTTAAATGCTACCACGGATTGATTAACTGGAACTCAGTAGTGAAGGATCTAAGCTTCTTGCACTAATAAGATGTCAGATAACAAAATTATTGTAGCTTTGAAATGAAACTCCAGTTAAGGCAAATTACATGAAAATTAATATTGTTAAAATGTAAGTACTCTTCACTAAAAAGAATATAGATTTAAAAATTAAACCCAATTTAAGTTTAATGCAGTAAGATATTGTGATAGTAACTTTTAACAGCCTACACTGATTTCCAATGTGAATGTATAGCACGGGTTAAAACAACTTACATTATCTTGATCAACTTCCCTAATAATATCTTCAAGAAAAGCATCAGTCATGTTATGTTCTGCACAAGCTTGTTGAAGTTCATCAACCGTAATATAACCACTGCCATCCTTGTCAAAATATTGGAATGCTGCAATAAGATGTTCTTCACGTTCTAGTTTGTTGAGATGAACTGTAGCAGCAATAAACTCCCCATAATCTATGGTTCCACTTTTGTCGACATCAGCCTGAAACAGTTCAAACATTTTAGCTGGATGGAATATAATCAGAGATTATTTATTTAACATGAACAAGCAATGCAGCTCAAAAGAAAAATGAATTAAAAATCTTTTACATGATCAATAGTATCTGTCTGTTATTTTATTTTTATTAAATAAGTGAGAAAAAATTCAGAAGGGGTGAGGATGAGGTTCCTCAAGAGTTGAGAAACACTAAAAAAAAAATAAAAGTGAAACAAATATAACAAGGACATTAAGAAAGCATTAAGAAGACGAACTGACTACACGCTTAAAAAAATCTTAGGCAGAACACAACAGAGTGGTCAAGAACATTACCAATTCCAAAGAAAGTTTTAAGGGCAAGGGAATGTCTATGAGCATTAAGCTCAAGGAAAATGACCAATGAACAGACAATCTCAGTACCACGGCATTTCAGCCTCATGCCCTTACTCTTGCCTAAACTTTAAACCATAAAAAAGACCCTCGAGTATAATGGCATACTCAGTGCTATTCAAAAATTCCAAAATGATTGCTGGAAAGAAAGGTTAATATATTGCAAAAAGAAAAATAAAATCCGAAGCATTTCCTCACTTCAGATACAGATGAAACCTATGTCAAGGGAATGAGGTATGGGGTCTATGAATCTGTAGCGGATCAATCCTGTTAATAACTGCCGGTAAGACAAAGGAAAAAATAGTCTTATGAGGGAGTTGTGGATTTCCTGATGGGCTTTTTCAGGAACTTTTTATTGCAACCAGCAGGGGTAGGAAGGCACCAAGAAGCCATTGAGGGGTCTACAACTTAATCTCTCGTTGGCCTAGTGGCTACCTAGTCTATTTATCAAACAAGGCTTGTAAACCTATTCAAGGAACTGGGTAAAACTTATATGCCTTCAAGAATATCATTTGATCAAATTTGGTACACTATTTGTCATTTAAAAATATAACAATGATCATTATATAGTTTACCAATAATAATCATTATATAGTTTACCAATAATATATTGATATCATTTATTTATTTATTTATTTATTTTATACACTATGAAATATTTTTTAAGAAGGCAGATATTTTTGAAACCTTCTAAACATATTTGCAAGCCATGGTCCTGTCCTTTGAGAATAATCATGCAACTGAGTGGATGACAAAGAATACAATACAAGCATACAGAGTACAAGGAAATTTAAAATATTATATTCGAAAAAGAATATCTAAATAAAATGGACGCACAAACACTAGATAAAAAAAAAAAATTCTCACAAACCAAACCAACAACCTACCGCTTCCATCAGATCACGTATTTCTACATCTTTAAGGGTAGAACCATATCTTCTTAGACCAGCTTTGAGTTCATCAAAAGTGATTGCACCACTGTTATCGGTATCCATAGCCTGAAACATTTCTCTCAAACCAGCAATCTCCTCTTCAGATAGACTTTCAGCAATCACCTACAGAAATATTATGATAAGCAACTATAACCACAATTACCTAGTTTCAGGCACCAAAAAGATAATAGATGAAGGAGAAGTGAAAACAGAGTTAGTGTGGAAGCCTAATAAGGTGAGGTTCATTTGGCATCCAAGAAGTGCATAGTAGTAACTTGACTCCACAAAGGCAGGAATTGCATTTCATATATCATCAATGGAATGAGTTATCTATTTCATAATAGTGTATGAGCTACATCCATACATCTTCTAATATCCATTCATTGATCAGCTTCACTTACCCGCAATGCCATCTTCTTCAGCTTATTCATTGCAGAAAACTGTTTAAGACGAGAAAGAACAGCAGGGTCTATTGCCCTGTCAGGCGCAACTCCATTTTCACATATCCAAGGATGACCTAAACAGGCACATGAAGGAACATTTTCAGACAAACACATTGAAACACAACTTTTGAATATTTGTAAAGTTTAACACCTAAGGAAGTCAAGCTGGACTTTGCTTTTGGGAAATATCAGCATCCAAGTAACTTGTTTAGATAGGAGGACTCTTTCCTCTTGGGTGAGTCTATTAGGGACGTTGCAAGCCCACCCAGTGAAATTATAATTACCTAATGCATCTTTATAACGAAGATAACTTGAGAAATTTATGTAGCACAGGGAAAGCAACTTTATAATGCTCAGCCCCCTCAATTTACAACTAAAATAGCATCCACTGAGTAATCATAGCAAGATAGCGACTCCAAAAAGGAAAAATGACAGTTCTTTTGATGCATGGGCGGTCCTTGCTTATAGTAGATACAGTAGAGAAAAGGATGAACATACATAACACTTGATGAGCAGTCAACCGTTCTGAAGGCTGAGAACACAGCATCTTTCTGATCAGATCTTTTCCACTGTCAGATATTAGAGGCCAAGGATCTGAGTCAAAATCTATATGTCCCTTCAATACTGCATCAAATATACCCTGTTGGGTCTCTAGACTCCAAAAGGACAAAGCATTCAGTGATTAGACAGACGATGGACAGGAAATAAAAAGAGTATGGGCATTGAGATATACCTGCCCAAAATGGTGGTACACCACTAAGCAATATGTACAGTATGACACCGGCTGTCCACACGTCTGCTTCAGGCCCATAATGCTTGAGGAGAACCTCAGGAGCAACATAGTATGGGCTGCCGACTACATCAGTGAAAACTTGACCTGAGGCAGATAAGTTAAACGAACAAACACTGATTAGTATTAAAATGTGTCCCCTAAACAATAAAGACTAAAGAACCTGAATGGGAATGACAATTAAAGTTAAGGAAATTCTAATTGGAAGACGGAGATTTCGTAAGTTCAGAGGCATTAAAGATAAAAAAGGAAAAGATGGAAAAGGCCATAAAAATATATTCAATGAAACAAAAGTAACGGTGTTCTAAAAAGAAAAGTAGAGGGATAAAGCAGAGCAAGGAATATGCGTTACCGGGTTTGAAGAAAACGGAGAGGCCAAAGTCAATTGCTTTAAGAGAGAAATCATCATCTTTATTGACCAAAAGAAAGTTTTCTGGCTTGAGATCTCTGTGCATGACCCCAAGGGAATGACAAGCCTCAACAACCCCAACAATAATTTTGGTCAACTCTGCAGCCTTCCTCTCGGTATAGTGGCCCCTCTGGATGATGCGATCAAACAACTCACCCCCAGAACAAAGCTCCATGACTATATGCACATAGAGAGGATCCTCGTAAGCACCCTTAATGGTGACAATGTTCTTGTGACCAGCTAAATGATGCATTATCTGAATTTCCCTCCTGACATCCTCAACATCCTCCTTGGAAATCAACTTTCTTTTGGAGATAGATTTGCAGGCATATTCATTGGAAGTAGAATTCTCGGTGCATAAATAAGTAGTGCCAAATTGTCCCTGTCCCAATTTGCGGCCAAGAGTGTATAGATCACGAATGTTGGGAGTCTTATGGCCCAAGACATAATATGCCTGGTTGTCTAGGCCGCGGCGCATGATGGACTCTTTCTTGGAGTTGAAGGGTGGATTGTTGTTGTTGTTGATGATGCCGGTGCTGTTGCTGTTGTTGTTTTCTGCAGAATTGATATTTTGTCTGGCTGAGGAGGGGTGTTCGGAGTCGGAACGATCAGAAAGGGTGGTGCGCTTGGAGTGGTCTTCGGGCTGGCTGAAGCCCTGAATATATTTCCCTTTCAAAGATCCACGGCATGTGTTGCCCATCAAACAAACCAATTATTATATATTCATCAAACGATCTCTCATCAGCTTCCACTCCCCGTCTTGACCTGTGCTGTGCTATGCTATGCTATGCTATGCTGCGCTCAGCACAATAACGAATCAAACGTCAAAGCCCATTCCCTTCGATTATTCATTTCATATAAACATGGCATCGTCGAAACTTGTAACAGCAGAAGAAGACGGTAACCGAAATAAATAAGAGATGAAGTATTGAGCGTACCAGAAGGAACCAGAAACCGAACGAATGGAAAGAGGATAATCGCTTCTTTGTTTCTGCTCCGACAGATCTCCACAAAATTAGTTTAGGAAAATATTTCTATTTTTTTGGTTGTTAATTTTAGGATGTGATGGTATTGGTTCCTGCCGAGAAACATCGGAGGTCAGTGCTGACCAGCTACGCCCACTTCTCTCCTTTGAGAATTTTCAATTAAATATCACGCGGCTTTCTTTTTCATTTCCTTCTTCAATTCAATGCATCTGGATCAAAGGGCCCAAAGCCCAATTCACCTCATACCTTTTGCATGGGTGTTTCTTCCTGCACCCCCAAAACCTATAAATTCCAAATTATCTTTCATTAAAATTATAATAAAAGGATAAATAATTATCTCTGCATTTCCCTTTTTTTAAATAAATTCCAAGTTGTATGATTTGAAAGGTATTTTTTTTAAATATATTATGAATTACGTAATATGGAATATATTTTTAAAAAATGGTTAATTATGTTTTTTTATTTCTAAATTATAACTTGATTTTGATTTTTGTTTCTATTTAAAACTTTAATTCTAAGAAATGTATGAATTTAGTTGTTTTTTAATTGTATTAATTGTTTTTTAGTGTGACAAGTGACATGGTTTAACGTGATTTGTTGGACAAAATTATTGCACTCATCGTGATTTTGTTAGACAATGCCTTAATCCGTTTCTTAAATATATTGACTCAAGGTGATTGAAGTTTTAGATAAATATAAAAATCAAAATCATGTTATAATTAAAAAAGAAAAACAAATAGTTAATCCTAAAAACTACATTCCAAGATATGTAATCTACTAGATATTTTTTAATCCACACATGAGATATACATTTCTGAATACATTAAAAAAAAAGCTATTTTAAAATGTGTATTCTAAGAGGTATTTTTAGATTTAAAGATTATACACATCTCATTATGGATGTTTTTAATATATTGTGAGATGTACATTCTAAAATGAAACGTGTTGTTATAAGCTAAAATAATTATCTTTTGCATTCCATTTTCATGGCTTTTTTCTTTATGCACTCCCACGAATTCTAAAATCACTATTTAGTTTCCCTTCGATTATTCATTCCAAACAACCTTTTTGAAACATATATGATACTTTCTGGAATGAGCTTTTTTGGAACTTTTTTTTTTCAAAACAGATTTTAATTTTCTTCTTCTTCATGTCAAAGGGTGTAGTGAAGAAGAAGGTGTGAAAGTGAAAATGGAAGGAAATGAGGGAAAAAGAAAGTAGAAAGTGAGATTATTTAAATGTAAGAAAAAAGAGTGAAAAGTTTCTACAAGATGTAACTAAGGTGACTGAAAAAAAGAAAGAATTAACTGCTTAATTTAATCGTTTAATAAAATGTCCTTGTGTTTACTTAGTCTTGATTTTTAAATAATTTAATTGAGAACATGTATGTTTGTATTTAAATGTATGTATGCATATATCTTTGTAATGGATCGTAGTAAAAAGTTATAATTTTTTTTTTGTGAAAGTAATTATTACGATAAAAATAGTTTTACTTCTGAAAATTGAATATGTGTTTGTGTGATTTTAAATTGTGTGGCATTAATTTTAAATCATAAAATTGTGAGGTGCATGAACTTTCTTGGAGAAAAAGGTGTATTATAAATTATGGTTGCATCATAATATGTTATGGACACACATAATCAATTATTGTTTTGTACATAATGGATTATGCAGATACATGTAATCGTAATTTATGTTGATTCAACATACATATATGTTCTCACCGCAAATTCTCCTCAATTTCAAACATAATGACCTTGCCCTACTTGATAAAAAAAGGAAGAGGGGTGCAAAAAGAAGAAAAATTGTGAATATTCCGCCAATTTTGTTAGTTCAAATTTGGCACAGAATCAGTAAAATATTAAAAAGCACGGTGGTGATGATGGAAAAGGCAGAGCACGGTGAAGTTTAGAATTCTTGTATAAACAGGGATTGTTGAAAGGTGAGGAAATTCTGACAGGAAAAAAGAGATTGATTTGATTGTGTTGCAATAAAAGAGGTGTTATCATTTTGTACCATTGCCGAATCGTTATGTTGAATCGAGTAGAGAGTGCAAGTACTGATACTATATGAATATGATACGCTAATGTTGCTACGCCCACTCACTTCATTATTTTATTTACAGAATACATCCAAAAGAGAGAGAAAGGAAGAGGTAGACCACCCTCCTAACCTCGTCTGGCACCAACTTTCTTCTTAATTATTATATTTTTATGTCCTTTTATGCATATCAGACTGATTTTAATACTTGAAAGTTGAAACATCAAACTCAAACTCACTCCAAGCCTGCAAGCTGATTTTTATTTTTATTTTTTAACCTCACAGAGTAGGGATCTCATTTGCGCTGCACCGTCGACCCAAACCTCAATCCGTTCAATTATTTCATCTTTCACCGCCTCAATCATAAGCGCTGTGCAGAATGAGCGGAGCCGTTCTTGTTGCCCTCGCTGCTGCTATCGGCAATTTCCTGCAAGGATGGGATAATGCTACTATTGCAGGTATTTTTTTATTTATTTGGGATATGAATAGCATAAGGTCTTCAATTTCATTGTTTTTGAACTGTGTTTGATCGATTCACCGGGTTCTGCCATGCCATGCAGGATCTATTTTGTACATAAAGAGGGAGTTCAAGTTGGAAAGTGAACCCACAATCGAAGGTCTAATTGTGGCTATGTCACTTATTGGAGCCACTGTGGTTACCACGTGCTCCGGGTCCCTGTCAGACTGGCTAGGCCGACGACCTATGTTGATCATCTCTTCTCTGCTTTATTTTCTTAGTTCTCTCGTCATGTTGTGGTCTCCAACTGTCTATATTCTCCTCTTTGCAAGGCTTTTAGATGGATTGGGCATTGGTTTGGCAGTGACCTTGGTACCTCTTTACATATCCGAGACTGCCCCAACTGAGATTAGGGGATTACTGAATACCCTTCCTCAGTTTACTGGTTCTGCTGGAATGTTCTTTTCCTACTGTATGGTGTTTGCTATGTCCCTCACCAACGCCCCAAGCTGGAGACTCATGTTGGGTGTTCTTTCAATTCCCTCTCTTATTTATATTGCACTCACACTATTCTTCTTGCCCGAATCACCAAGATGGCTTGTCAGTAAAGGCCGGATGCTGGAGGCCAAGAAGGTTTTGCAACGACTTCGTGGCAGGGAAGATGTCACTGGTTAGTTATGTTATGCCCTTTTTCTTTAACAATTACTTATTCTCTCTACTAATCCTGTTTGTTTGCTTTACTACCTTGGAGTTCATTTCAGATTTAGCTACCTTCATTCGAAGTCTGTAGGATTGTTTTGAGGTCACTTCATCTCTAAACACAACCCAGCTGCTGCGGGATGTTCTGTTGTTCATTTTCAGAACTTTAGTTAGTGACTGTATTCTGTGAGCCTATCCTGCCGCATTTAGCAAAAACTATGTGCTACATTCATTTGTGTTTATGCAAACAGAAAACGGGACTTAGTTAACGAGAATATTACCGAACCATAGACTGTTATTGCAGTACTGCGTCTGAATTTGCCATTGATTAAATTTTTGGAATAAAGTGGTTTAAAAATAATATTATAACTTTTGTAACTTTTTATTAATTTACTTATTAGAATATTGTTTTTTTTTATTCTTAAGACTCAGGATCTTATATAAGATACTTTCAACGAAAGTTTCTTATAACATCTGCGTCTTAGATTTAAAACCTCTGTATTGAAAATGTTCTTAATGCATCAATAAAAGGGGAAAACAAAACTAAAGTAATTAAGCTTTAAAATCGATAGCATGAACATTTGTTATTTGTCATTATTTCAAACCTATTGAAAATCATGATATTGAAAACTTAAATTGAATAGTCGTAGTGCAATTGTTTATTGTCGTTGTTTTCAGGTAGATTCCCTCAGTGTAGGTGCATTTATTTGATTCTACCAGTTGTTGTTGACTTGCTTTTGATTCAACTATAGCAACTGATTTGTTATATGCATGACTTGGATGGTGATTGCTTTTGGTTATAATGATCAGGTGAGATGGCTTTACTTGTCGAGGGTCTCGGAGTTGGGGGTGATACCGCAATAGAAGAGTACATAATTGGTCCAGCCAATGAATTCAGTAATGCAGAGGATCCTTCAGCCGCAAATGAGCAGATCAAATTGTATGGGACGGCAGAAGGTCTATCTTGGATTGCTAAACCTGTCACTGGACAAAGTTCCATTGGCCTTTTATCTCGGAAGGGAAGCATTATTGCAAATCAAAGTGGTCTGGTGGACCCTCTAGTTAAGCTCTTTGGTAGTGTCCACGAGAAGTTCACAGAAACAGGAAGCATGCGTGGAAGCGCACTTTTTCCACACTTTGGAAGCATGTTTAGTGTGGGGGGAAATCAACTTAGGAATGAAGATTGGGATGAAGAAAGCGCTGCCAGGGAGGGTGATGATTATGTCTCTGATGCTGCTGCCGATGATTCTGATGACAATTTGCAGAGTCCATTGATCTCACGACAAGCAACAAGTGTGGACAGGGACATGGCTGCTCCCACCCAGGGTAGCATGAGGCAAGGTAGTCTTGTGCAAGGAGAAGCTTCTGGAAACACAGGGATTGGTGGTGGATGGCAGCTGGCATGGAAATGGTCTGAAAAAGATGGTGTTGTCAAGAGAATATATTTACACGAAGAAGGTGGTCCTGGATCTAGACGTGGGTCTCTCATTTCCCTTCCAGGTGGTGATGTACCGACCCTAACGGATGGTGAGATTGTTCAGGCTGCTGCCCTGGTGAGTCAGTCAGCCCTTTATAACAAGGAGCTTATGCATCAGCAGCCAGTTGGACCAGCTATGATCCATCCATCCGAAACAGCTGCAAAAGGACCAAGTTGGAGTGATCTTTTTGAGCCTGGAGTGAAGCATGCACTGATTGTGGGGGTGGGGATTCAAATTCTTCAACAGGTAATGAATCTTTTCAATATCTGTTTCTTTCTTCTTTTTTATTTTTTATTTTTTATTTTTTTTTTGCTTCTATGCGTTTACACTGCCTTCCTGTGCTTTCACATTCATGCATTGCCCTGTTTTGTAACCCTGTCATGTATACTGATGCTTTGTTATCTTGTTCCCTTTATTGAAAACAAATGAATTTGTGAGGGCAATATTGACTCTACATTTTTGTGCAGTTTGTTTACATCATAATTATAGATTTTGTTTAATGCCCTCGTATTCAGTTCATACATAGTTTCTTTGAGCTTCAATTAGTGCGGTCACATGTAATTGCTGTTTGATTTTAAGTTTTCGAGTGATTTTTGTCAGTAATGATTATAGAAGATTCATTACTAAACAAAATATTAAACTAGGATATGCAACATGAAAAGTGATGTGAGTGACATTATTTTGGTTAAAGTATTGTCAGAGGAAGTAACTTTTTAATTAGTTCAACCCAATTTGCTTGGAGGCTCCAGGTCTTTGGGAAGCCGTAGAGGAGTATTGTAGAGATAAGTGATAGAGTCCTATGATGAAATTCTTGTGTCTCAAGCACAGCAAAGGAAAATATTATATATACCATTGCAATGCATAGAGATGGGCCTAGGCCCATGTAGTAATATACATCTATCCCAAGTTTGTTACAAATATAATCAATTGTAGGATTCCACATTGATTTGTTGAAGATATCCGACAACTTGTAATTGGATTTAGCAAACTGAGTAGTAATGTCCCCGGATGAAATCTTTTCGTTGATGAAGTGACAATCTATGTCAAGTAGCAAAAAGAATTCTTAAACATGTTAAAGGCACAATTAATAATGGAATAAGGGTCAGTGAAGTTAAAAGTTCCATTCTTCTTGGTTATTCTTAGAGTGACTTGGCTTGATTTGTCGATGATATCAGAAGCGCCTCAGGAGGTTATTGCTTCACTTTGGTTCTAGTCTGTTTTCATGGTGCTGAGGAAAATAGCTCAGTCAACAATAGAGGTAGAGTATATAGCTGCCAGCTCTTTGGATAAAAAGGCTCATGATAGACTTGCACATGGAACAAACGCAAAGAACATAAACAACCAATCTGCAATTTGTATTGCTAGCGATCCATTGTTCCATGTCAAAACAAAACACTTCAACATCAAGTTTTTCTTTTTAAGAGAAGTTCACAGGGATGGAGTGGTGCAACTTATTTGTTGCAGTACAGAACATCAGAATGCTGACATTGTACCGAAGTCTCTTCCTAAAGGCAGATTTGAGTACTAGAGGAAAAGACTGGGAATATGCAGCTACTATGTCAAGTAGGACTGCTAATTGGAATGACAGATGAAGATGCTAATCAGTTTTTAGTTTCCCTGAAAAAGATAATTAAAATGCCATTTTTTTAAATTGTCAGGAAACTATAGACATAGGATATATTTTTATTTGACAACTCCTTGAGTAGGTGATTATTCATTAACCAATCACTGATCATCTTAACCAATTGTACCTGTTAAAAAGCTATGCGGACTGTGATCTCACTACTCTATGAACATTGCAGTTCTCTGGTATAAATGGTGTGCTCTACTATACACCTCAAATTCTTGAGCAAGCAGGTGTTGGGTATCTTCTTTCAAACCTGGGCCTTGGTTCTACTTCTGCGTCTTTTCTTATCAGTTGTGTGACAACCTTGTTAATGTTACCTTGTATAGCTGTGGCCATGAGGCTCATGGATATATCTGGCAGAAGGTATGCATCTTTCTCTTCTAACTTTTTGTTGGTTTCTTCTTGTTTAAATGATAAGATTTGTTTCAATTGGTGGATGTATCCTGGCGATGATTTTTTAATGGATAAACTCTTTACGTTGCATTTTTTTCCTGAACGTTATTTGCTATATTTTGCAATTTATGGTGGTATTTCAACAACAATTGCGTTTGAAATTACTACTATTGCAAAGAGTCTCTGAAACAAAAGCAAAATTACAGCGAGCACGGCAGTAAATGTTGGGTAATGATGTTTCAACGTGAGAGAAAGCTAAATGTGTTAATGATAAGAATGCCGGGGTTGAATGAACTGACATAAGAAAGCATAAGAATAGGAGTGCTTTTATCCTGGAAAATGTTGAAGTTAGCATCCATAGATATAGAAACTCATTCAAACAAGGATGTTCGAAGATCGATGAAGGATCTAGTGAGAAAAGTTATTCAAATCGAAGTGCTCTGACAGTAAAACTTAGGAAAACATAAGTAGTAGACTTAGATTTTTTTTTTTTAAAATAAATTTGCTCTATTTTTTATTTCAATTTTGGTTTTTATTGAGCTCATCCATGTACGTTGATTCAACCTAGTGAATAAGGATTTGTTGTGGTGGAAGTGCTGTTTTGTTTTGCATTTAAGTTCCTATATGAAAGTATCTGAGATAACTATAGAGAGTGTTACCTTAATATATGATATTTGCGTAGTGTGAATATATGATATTCTGTTTTGCTTTTTTTAACGGATTCTGTATACTTCCCCATTACCTTTTTCTGGTTTTTTTCTTGATGCAGGACCTTGCTGCTGACCACAATCCCCGTCTTGATAGTGGCTCTTCTGATATTAGTAGTAGGGAGTCTTGTAGAATTCAACAGTAGTGTGAATGCTTTTATCTCAACTTTGAGTGTCATTGTCTACTTCTGTTGTTTCGTCATGGGTTTTGGGCCAATTCCTAATATCCTTTGTTCAGAGATCTTCCCTACTCGAATTCGTGGTCTATGCATAGCTATATGTGCTCTTACATTTTGGATATGTGACATCATCGTCACGTACTCGCTCCCAGTTATGCTTAATTCTGTGGGCCTTGGTGGTGTTTTTGGTATGTATGCGATCGTATGCATCATAGCTTGGGTGTTTGTCTTCTTAAAAGTTCCAGAAACCAAAGGCATGCCACTGGAAGTGATAACTGAGTTCTTCTCTGTCGGGGCAAAGCAAGCCGAAGCTGTCAGTGGTAGCTGAGTTAACATTATTGGAACTTTTCTTTAACATAAAATTGATTTCAATATATGGTTATCATGGTTTACTCCTCAAGCACCCCTCCCACTTCTTAAAATATCTTCATCCTGGGAAGGGATTTGGGATTATAATCTATTTCTTTTGAAATTGATTTTATAATCCTTATTTCGTGATTTATATAATTTTTAAGCAAAATACTACTACTTATCTTAGTCCTTAGTAATGTGAAACATTGTGAAAATTTTAATTTCAGGAAGTAAAGCAAGTATTTATACATAGCTACGTCTTCAATTTTAAACACGGTGTTCTGCGGAAGGGATGTTAGTGAAAGTGGGAATTTTGGGAATAATAAAAAAAGGAATAGTGTTTTTTTTGGGTAAGCAATGTCTACCATAGAAATTATAATCAATGTTAAATATTTGTAAGGTTTTTTGCGTGGGTATTGTAAATGTTCTGAGAATGTTAGTATTTTAAAAATGGCGAAGATGCTGAATATAACTTAATTATTATATATTGTCAATATTTTTTAAAACATTATTGTCATCTTAATAAACTTTATTTTTGACTAGTTGTTTTGAAAGTTACATTGTTCTAATTTGACTACAACAAGAATATAGACATAAACGGGTCCAGCTTTTGGAGGGCAACTTAATTAGTGTTTGATAAAAAAAAAGTTTTGGTGGTATTATAACATTTCAGTAATTATGGGTTCCAGAATGCATCATCCTTCTTCTTGTCATAAAATTAATTTATAGTATCAAGAGAGTTTACTCTTAGAGTTCCTTCTGAACAACTCTCGCCTATAAAAATAATAAATATTATTATATATCATAATTAAATACTAAATAATGAGTTGTTTGAAATTGTTTAAAATTTTTTCCAGGGACGAAATTGAATAAGTTACTACCAAATTATACCATACTATCCCATTCACCTTTCACAATTAAAACAATTCAAGTAACCTTAACCTTACTTCTTTCATTTTTTAAATAATTTATTTCTTAAAAAAATTAAAATAGCATAAAAATTTGTAATCAACTTATCCATTTGAAAAAACGAGTAAAATTAGATTTTAAATTTATATGTAATAAACTTAATAACTGTTTTTGGATGTAGTACTTAGAGATGAGTAATTATTTTTTATTCTTTTATTTTATATAATTATAATTTTATATTTGACAAGAAAAAAAAATATTTTTATTGATTTTAAAAAAATTATGTTTATTACTGTAATTTTTTTTGGTACAAAAATAATTTAATTAATAATTTAGATTAAAAGAATCGAGGTGCAAGTACTAGTATACCTACTTCCCGTGGAAACAAAGTTTATACTTCTTACATGTAAAGATGTAAATTAACTTTTATTTTATAGATGAAAACTGATACTCAAACCATTACATGCCTTATTCCCATCCCTATCAATAAATTATAATTTTGTAAAGTCTAATTTAGCAGCAAAATATTTTAAATGATTAATGTGATTACTACTTATTCTTTAAAAGATGATCTTAGAGGGTTTAACAATTTATTTTATAACAAGTAAAATTAGTTAAAGATTGGATTTTACAAGAAAAGTTAAACAGGCACGGCACTTCAGTTCATCCTAAAACAATCCTTCGACGAGCAAGGATACACATCCTATGGAAACTAGATCCTAAAACCGTGATAAAGTCTCAATGCATTTTTCTTAGATTTAACTAGGAAAAAGGGAAAATTGACATTGAAATGACAAATATAAGTACTACAGAACAATTAGTGAAAAACATTTTACATGCTACTGAAAAGCAAGATTAACACAATGAAACCAGGAGTAACTAGAAAGACAAAAAGGTTCCAAGTAGCGAGTAGAAAAAGAAAACATAATCAAAGAAAACCTAAAACCTACCTTTGGGCTCGCCATAACACTGACCTGATCTAGTTCTTTCATAATTATTCATGTATTTAAATTATCGCCACCCAAATGCAGCAGCTCCCATGGTTTATGTTTCTCTTTTTATTTAGACCTCCACACCAGACTGCTGCTTTTCCTTTATCAGATACACTTATGAGCCAGCACTAGTTGTGTCCCGGGGAAGTGAAAGAAATCCAATTTTTGAAATCTTCTAGATTCTGGTAAGCATATTAAGTTATGAAACAATTCATTCAGCGCCACTGGCTACAAATAACAAAAGCCGAGAAAGATTCTATGGAATTTCAGTCATGGATGCATTTAAAAAGGATACGCAATTCAAAACCTGACCAAAATTCTAAACTCAAGATTTAATCAGAATATCACAACAATTTCAAGAAACTTAGAACAGAAACTGTGGGGTTGGGAACAAAATGCGAGTGGACTTGTGCTGACACAATTAATGATGTATATGAATGTACAGAGGCAAAATAGATCAACAATAATCTGATCTGAAAAAGGTCTTCATTTTATATAATACCATTCAAGTTTCTGATGCGAAGGAGAAAAGTGGAGAGTTGAGACATGGCAAGAACATGGCAACAGTTTTTTCTTTGACAAAGAGAGTCAGTAGAGTGATTCATCAGAACAGAACAATTTGTGCAAGGAAGTAGTCCAAAAACGCAAAAGGATGTAAGAAGCATTACGGTAAAATGGTGGTGTCAGAGAGTAACAGAAGCAATGATGAAAAATGTATGTGAGATATGAAATGTTATTAGGGTGATCAAACAGTGGAGGAGGGAAGAGAAGAGAAGGTACCATTAGAAGGACGGCACTGAGATAGAAGTCAATCTAGAATGCGTCTAGCACCAAGGCGATCGAGCTGCAAGACTTTTGCAGAAGCCTTCAAATTGCCGTGGCTGAGAAAGGCTTGAATCATGTGTTGGGCAATGGCATG